AATTACATATGTATGTATACACACTATAGACGAGTAACCCAATGATTTATTTAAATAATTACGAATTATGTTGATTAATTTATAACTATAATTAATTTATTCTTAATTGTATCTTGTTTTTAGAAATTAATACAAGTCCGACTCGACCCCGTCAATAGATAGAAACATTATCGGAAACAAAGCAACAGACCTTACTACAATAGCTTCAAGAAAATGATTGTTGGGTGAAAATCGCGAAATTATTCAATGGAAACTCATCTGTGTTTCATATTAAAAAAATTTATAAACTTAGCAATTAGCCTTTGCTGTAAAATATCTCGAATATAAACCTTTGCAATTTTAATGGACTTCAGATAATTTTCAGGAGGTGGACAAATGGAATTAGCCTTCAATTGTGTTTAAGAAATTACATACAGTATAATTAAACCCTTAATAGAAGGTTTAAATAACCCTTATGATAATGATTCAGAATATAATATGAATAATGAACAGAATGAAAATCAACCACCAGCTGTTGATCCAGTTTTTGAAGTAAGGGATAAAGTATTTATTATAATGATGGATTATTACTTTTTCTTACAGTTCTTCTTGATTTTTTATGATTTCTATAATGAAATTTTATTTTAGCACCTCTTGAAATCCAACAGTATGACAAACTGGAACAAATGGACTCCTACCAAACTGAGAAGCCCTTTAGCTGAACCGCTGAAGAACATTATATCAAAGTCTCTTTCGAATGATCAATCCGAGCCAGTAGCGTCTACGTCAAGTGGAAAAACGTCTTAAAGTTACATGAATAATAAGTTACAAAATACTTTTTGATGTTATAGTCATTTTTTTCATTATTATTAACTCATTGCCTGACCAATATTCACTTGTTAATGTATTTTGTTGACTTTCCATAAGAAGAAAACCGTATACATCGATGAAAAACTTCTCAGTATGCGACTGTATCATGCCTAAAAAATGTAATGTTATCTCTTTGAATATAATACATCAATTTCTAATTGTGTACAATCTTTTACTACACCAGTAGATCATCAACTTTAAACGTAGCACTAGCAAAATCTCAACATATATCTTTAGAGTTTAATGGATCTATCGAATAATTATATAGACAACAAACAATTTTAATCTTGAAGAAAATTTATTGACATTTACTTCCGCAATTTTTCAATAAATTCGGATGCCCAAAACTCCGCACATACTTTCGAAATATTAATTGAAAAGTTTTGAAATTGATCTCGGTATTGCAGTAAGTGTTTTCATTTATAAACAAAGCCATGCAATACAAGATTATATTGAACTTTTCTTGACCAAGTTTCAAGCTTCCCTTCTGAACGTGTTGCAAAAAGACTATTTTTCAAGGTTCTGTAATCATAGACAGCATGTATATAAACATCGTCTTCTTTAATACAAACTTTTTTCTTATGTGTTGAAGCTACATGCTTCTGGAAGGCAATTTTAGTATTGAAATTCTCTAAATAAATTCTACATTTAAGGACTGTAGTTGTTTTCGAAATAATACTTCGATATTGAGTTGATCTTTGGATTTTTGGTGGAGTATTAGATGTAACATCAAGTACTATTTCTTCTACAATTCCAACGTCATCAACATCTTCATTTTCACTGATGTACTCTATTGCTTGTAAATCCATACTATGTGTTTTAATAAATGGTGACACTTCTTAAGCTTGTTCATCTTTTTTAACAGGATTATTAACTGAAAATTCTTATTAGAAAATTGTATTACCATTGTCAATGGCTATACATCGACGAGCTTGCAAATCTTCAACAGTCTTTGCAAGGTTATTCTCCTCATTTTTAATAGCTAGAAGTTCCCTCAGCATGCACTCTAGTTCTAATCCAACTTCTGTTGCATTTTTTTTATATTGACTGAAGAAACATTCCAAAACTTAAATTAATAAATTGAAATTTAACATTCATAATGCTAAATGAAAATAAGCAGATAAATCAAATAATTCTTCAGCCTAGTTTCCAATACTGCCGCTTCCCAACTCTGCCTGCTTAAAAATAAATAAAACAAATTATTCTGGAAGGAAAAATCCTGCAGCGGGTGAAAATCTCCAAAACAGGCCAAAATAATCTAAATTAACTAATAACGTCATTCTATACAATAAAAAATTCCTCAAAAACTAATCGTCCGTTAGTCAAATTGAAAATTTAAAAAATCTATGTTTTCATCTTCAATTTCCTTTCCTTCCTTCTTTCTCATCAGGAGAAACCGCTGGGAAGAACCAAAAGAACCCAAAGAGTAGGAAATGCCAAGAACTGGAAAGTCATGGAACTAAACAAAATAAAAGTTCCTCACAGAATCAAAGTTCTTTAAAAATTTCATTATTATATCGTAAATTCAATGTTCAATTAAGAATTAGGTTGAATGGTCACACTTCATGGAGTCAATTCCCCAAAATACCGACTCCCATCCTTCTTTTAAAATAAAATCCGACTCTCAAATAAATGATTCAATATCATTAAAACAATCAATTCAATTCCACCTTGCGCAAGGAATTTTCATAAATAAGTTCAATAGCTTCTGCTCACTGTGCAAACTAAATTATTAAAAATTGGGCTCACAGTTACGCATACTACCCGAACAAAAATAATAGGATACCATGGACATCTAGTAGCTCACTTTGCTTCACTTTGGCCAATAAATAAAGAAAAGGATTCCGGTACAATGACTTCAACCGTGTTTATTCTAAAGTAACTCCACGAGAACGCTCCAGAACAGACATTGTGAATTTAATTCAACAATTGAATGATCAATAAGAGCCAACGTTCTCAGACTGGAAGTTACAAAAACCCTGAATTCAACAGAAGTTAGGAATCCAAAAAGAGTCAACAATGATTTATTATCATCATACGGAGCGAGTCTAATCATTCAATCACTTAAAAACGATCATTCAAGATTTTCTGAAATTCAAAACACAACATCTTTGAGTAGATTTCAGATGCATAAAGACCTTCCAAAAATAACTAAAACTTCAGGCCATTTCCTTCACTTTTAAGAAAAATTGAATCGAATCTATGGATTTAATCTAAAATAATCATGAAAGCTAACGAACTATGATTAACCGACGAAGTTGAGACCGATTCAACCAAATTATTAGAAATATTTTCTAAATTATTATTATCATTGTTATTATTATTAATAATAGTAATTAAGTTCCTTATCTTTAATGCTAGAAATCCTCCATTGTTTTCCAACTTAATTTTTTTACTATACTATAGCAACCTTACAATGGTACCAACTTCATAAATTTCAAAATTTTCGTTTTTTCGACGGATTCACGAAAAAAATTATGGAAAAAAAAAATAAAAGTTTATATTGGTTTCAGGGCTTTAAATGTTTATGTAAATTCACTCATTCATGTATAACTGTTGATAACTTTTTTACAAGTTATCGTATGGGCTTGTTATATTTTTTTATAATCTACACAAAAAAACAAACAGATTAAAAAAAATTTATGCTAAAATGTTGATTTTTCATATTTTTACAATTAAAAATAATAACAACTTTTCTTAAAATTGACCGTTTCCGACATATCATCGTTAGTGTCTCTTTTATTAAGTAATTATCGAAATAATGTAAATAAAAACATTCTTAAAATTACTAATCAAGTATACAATATTGAAAGTAAACTTCAAAAAGTTGAAAATTATGATCATTAGAAAAAATGGTATCCTACTGACATTTACTGTTGAAGAGAATTGAAATGGCGCGAGGGGCGGGGCGAGGGGTAATCAAAAGCAGACCAAATGTGAAAATTTGTTATGAATTTTTAACAACCTCCCCCCCCCCCTCAATCGACATTCTCTCTAATTTCATGTGTGTTTGATAATGATATAGGATGAGTAAAAATGCTGGGTTAACTCAATCATAGATGTACGAAAATTATTTAACACCGATAACTTTATTAAATAATAGGCAACAGTAATCACAGTTTAAAAGTAAATGAGTGTGTGAGTTCACTTTAGTTCATAGAGACGATGAGCACTGATAGTACAGTAGTGAATGAATGTTTGAATGCACTACGACGTGGGTTGTAAGGCCGCGTCATTAAGGATGAGTCCAGAATGTATGATTTTAGTGAGTGGTATGAGTTTCTTAAACACTAGATGAGTTCAGTGAGCTACAGAAGTTAATTGTTGAGCACTAATGTTGATCTCGATGATTGCTTGAGTAGAATGAATGCCCAAAAAATGAATGCTTGTACGACAGCTACGATCTAGCGTCGGTGAGCGCGGTTCAGCAACAACTCGTCGACAATCGAGTTTCATCGAGAAAATTCGTGAAGCCTGCCCTTAGCAACATTTACCATTGATTTCCATTAAGAAAGTACCATTGATTCCCATTGCCATTTAGCAATGGAAATGAATGGACCTTTGCCAAGGATATTTTTTTCCATTAGTATCACCATTGGTATTACCATTGATAGTACCATTGGTATTACCATTGATAGTACCATTGGTCTTACCATTTGTAGTACCATTGGTTTTACCATTAATAGTACCATTAGTCTTACGAGTGTTAGTACCATTGTTATTAATGTTATTTATATTATTATAATAAATAATATGAATCATTATTACGTGGTATTAACATGTTATCTGTAATGAAAGAAACGTTTATTATGCATTTAATGTTCAGATTAATTGACAAATAGCTGATTCTATTTTTGAGTTTATTTGTCGTAATGAATTTAAGAATAGTGAATATTAATTGAAAAATTTGTATGAATATAATAATGAGCATGTTATTTAAGAGCTTTCTAAGAGCTGAATTACTGAATGATAGGCGTAGCTCTAGTTTAAATTTCTATTAGTAATAAAATTTTTTTAAATCAGAAAAGTTTGCTAGTCGTCTTTTAACAAAGTATAAAACGTATAATCCAACTTGTTCACAGAAATATATAACATGTCGCTTACATCAATTGCAGTTAATTTTAAAAATAATTAATATTTTTGTTCTTGTAATACTAATAACGTAAAATAATATTTCCATTGCTCATGAATCATTTTTCTCCTTTTTTGGTACTTTAAAATTGACACCAAACTTCTTGTGCGACTCATATTTCAATTTTCCTTGGATTGTGGATTTTATTTTTTCACGAGTTGCGTCAGGGAATTTTCCTTGAACGTATTCTATAGAACAAAGTAGGTAAGTATAAGATCTTATAAATAATTCAAGGACAATTGAATATAAATATTTGACTTTAAAAATACCTATAATTGCGTCCACTCTTTTAAAGTCCAGTTTTTTTTTCTTTCTAATTTCATCGGTCGCGCGATTTTTATGAATATTTGGTATTTCACCGCTAAGAGATGACTCAGCCATCTCTTCGACTGAGAATATAACAGTCATTAAATCAGTTACCAGCTTCGATGGTTTACTAACACAACAATTATTCAGTGTTTTTCTTGCAATCAAAGTTCCACCAAAGTTTATAAAGTCCACTGTTTCCTATGTAAATATAAAAGGAATATAATAAGATATTATTAATCAACAAAAAAAGTACTAAATAAAAAACCATAAAACTTACATTTTCTGGCAGTAATTTTTGTAGAGTATTGTTTAAAACTGCACCATCTGTGATTACTATCTTCTTTTCATCGAAAGACTCATCTTGTGGCTCATCACCTAATTCATTTATGTTTGATGCTGGATTATTTTCCACCTTTTCATTCTCATTTGTATTGTCACTATTTGCAGTATTACATAGATCATTATTATTAGATGAATTTCTTCTATCATCAGAAGTTTCGATTACAAAACCGCTATTCCTTTCATGATCATTAATTTTAATCAATTTTTTTGCGTTTCGAGAAGTTATATTATCTCGAGTCGGCTGTGATTTATCATTTGTGATAGTTCTTTTAATTTTTTTATTAAAATTTTGCAGTATAAACTTTATCTGAGCTGTTTTCTTCGACATCTGTCTAATAGCTGTAGAAATAAAAATAGTATAGTTGTATTAAGGAAAATCATAATATTATTTTTTATGAAATAAAATTACACATTCTAAATTATGATTTTGAAATATTGTAAATAATAACTTACACTCCGAATGGTATATTATATCAAGAAGTCGTTTATTTTGATTTTTCAATAACCGGTTTTGTTTTTGCAAATGAAGTAATTTATTTATTACTGAAGATTGGGTGATACATGGTTTTGAAACATTTTCAATTATATTATTTTCATTAACATTTTCCTTATTAGCCGACTCTTTCAGTAATGGTTGAACATGTTTTAACAATTCTACTTGAGCTCGTAGAACAGATTCATCTATTTTTTGTTTTTTTGTTATATTTTTATCACCAGAACTATCATTCAATCTTTTTCTTTCTGGCTTCAAATCTCGAGCATCATTATTTTTTTTAGTGGTCTGATTGTTTGGTGTTTTTTCACTCTTAATGTTAGAACTTTTCATTTTTGAATCACATTTTTTTGTTTGTTTTAACTTATTCGATTTATTTCGCAATGACGGTGTCATATTGGTAAATGACTATTCTTGACAATGCCGGTATAAAATAGGTTAAGCTTATCGAAATTGATGTTAAGTATTCCGAAAGATTAAAATTAACTAAATATAATTCACTGATAATAAATTCTAAAAAATCATCATGTTATCAGTATAACATTACATGAATTTTAGATAAGCATGAAAGTAACTCACTCAAAGCGTCTATTCAAGAAATATCAACGGTTAAGAAGATCTGCAGCTTTGTTCAACCGTGGCGTTGGGACTCAAGCTTGAACCTGCGCGTGAATTCACTGCGCATACCGGCAAAGACTACGTACGTCAACACAGTAGTATACTCAAAAACTTTGTAGCATAAAAAAAGTATTTACCAGTGTTAAAAGTTTACATTCTATAAGTTTTGTGATAAATTTTTGTAATTGTTTGTAAAAAAAAAAAAAAATGAACCCGGGGAAATGATATCGAAGATTCCTGTTTGAAGATGCTCCTATTCCAAAAAGAACACGTGTTCGTCGTGAACAGGTTATGTCCACACAACTTCAAGTAAACAACATACAAGATAATGTAGAAGATAATATCATTACAGAAGTAGAAATGAGTGAGTCTATCAGAAATTGTGAAGAAAAGGTAACTCAAGATCAATCCAATGTAGGCGTTAATCACACAAACAGTTTTCGAGTGCTCAATAATGAAGACCATACTATCAATGGAATTCGTACAAATGACGTAAATAATTTGCTTAACACATCGACTGAGGTAACAGAAATTTGCAGCAATTTATTAATTTGAAAAGTTTATAATCACTAACAATTGTTAGATACATTTACTTTTCTTTATAGAGTAATAATGATGATCAAATACTGTATGAAGGAGCACAAATTACTCGAGCTGAAAGTGAAGCTCTTATAATGGCATTCGTTTTGAATCAGTCAACATCTGAAAAAGGCTTAGAACTTCTTCTAAAACTAATTAACTGTCATATGCCAAATCCAGTATATACATCTGCTAAAAATTTTACCAACAAATTTCCAGTGCACTCTTCGAAACAAAATTTTTTTTGTATGGAATGTGAAGCAGGCTTGACTTTTAATGATCACTCTGAAATCATTTGTATGTGTGGAACGCGTAATGTTAAAAAACAATTAATTGATAAAACTAAATACTTTCTTACTCTGCCAATTGAGGAGAAATTAATAGATTTATTGAACAATGAGGAACTACGTAAACAATTGAATATATCAAAAAATAATTCGAGTGATGTAACAACTGGTCGAATGTATCGAAATCTACAGGAACGTAACATTATTGGAAAGAACGATATTACTTTTCAGTTAAATACAGATGGAGTCAGTGTTTTTAAGTCAACAAATGCTTCAATGTGGCCAATTTTCTTATCTATAAACGAATTACCATTGTCAACTCGACGAGATAATACTATATTAGCTGGATTGTATATTGGAAATAGTTCACCTAGAATGGATACATTTCTCACCCCAGTAATAGAAGAGTTAACAAAATTACATCAACTTGGAATTACAATAAAATTAAGAAATGACACCACTTTAAATATTAAAGTACATACAATTATTTCTCCTGTAGACTCCGTTGCCTGATGTAAAATGACATATTCCAAACAGTTCAATGGACGATATGGTTGCCTTTGATGTTTCAATGAAGGAATGCAAATTTTTAAAGGAAAAGGACATTGTCGCATATATATGCCCTATGTTGGACAACTAAGAACAGCCAATGAATTAATGGAAGATGGAGCAGCAGCTATAATCGGAAGGAAAGAAAATGTTAGAGGAATCAAAGGTCTTTCACCACTACTTAAATTACCGGTATTTAATATAGTACGGTCTTTCACACCCGAATATATGCATGGGACTTAATTAGGAGTCACATGCATGTTTTTCGATTTATTTTTTGACTCCAAATATTCTCAAAAACCTTGGTCATTACATGGATCATTACAAGAAATATCCATGAATGTAAAAAATATAAAACCTACATCTGAAATCACTAGACTTCCTGCTCCTATAGAAAAACGTGGCTTAAATAAAGCTTCAGATTGGAGAAGTTTATTATTATATTATTCTTTGGTTATTTTTCGAGGAGTTTTGAAAAGACCATACTATGACCACTGGTTTTTACTAGTCTATAGTTTCAGAATGTTGCTAAAGGATAAAATTTCCTCTACGGATATAGATAAAGCAGAAAGATGTCTTCAAAAGTTTGTTTCTACTACTGGACTTCTTTATGGTGTAGAACACTTATCATTCAATTTACACATATTATTACATGTATCAGATTGTGTACGTGATTGGGGCGGCCTTTGGGCCACATCGACATTTTCTTTTGAACATTGCAATGGAATATTAACTAGATCTTTTAACGGTACACGTTCAGTGATTCCACAAATATGTGCTTCTTATGAACGCACTGGCGTTTTAAATTATAAAAGTAAAAAAATATTTACTGAAAATACCTCTCAGCTTGCAAATGATTTATTTCATGATCTCCTGGAAAATCGAAAATTAGTAAGAAATTATTACCAAACTGGATATTTAACCATTTTAGGTGTAGGTCAGTTACATGAAATTAATGATGATCTTAAACATGCAATAGCTGCGGAATTACAGATTATCAACTCGACTAATTATGAAGTCTTTACATTTACACGTTTCATTTATAAAGGAATTGTTTATTGTGGTCAAGCATCTAGAAGATTGACAAAGAGGGATAATTCAGTGGTTTATTCGAAAAATAATCGATTTGTGGAAATCACCAGAATTATAGAGATTAGATTCGATAATGATCGATATCACTTTATTTGTGGAAAAGAATTAATTCCTTCATTTGAATTTGTTATAACAGACGAATCCATAGGAGCCACATCATTAGATTTTTTACAAACAGTAAAAGAAGGAGCAATAATATGTACTCTTATAAAAAATATTTCCCAAAAATATTTACGAATAACTTTGAATGAAGTTGCATATATCACACCTATAGCAAATACCTACGAAAGAGATTAAATATGTAATTTTTAAAATTCTAGTTCTTAATAAATAAATACTCATGCATTTTATAGTATGAAATGTATCTTTTTCTTCAAAATAATGCTTTCCTTTTATGTTCAATATTTATTTATTTGAAACCAATGAAAAAATATTAATTAGTTTATCCATTGTATTTTCCTTTCAGTACCATTCAATTCTAATGATAAAATTTCCATTTAAACTTTATCCTTTATGATATCCATTAGATTGTTAATGTCAAAAATTATCTTTGAGAATTTACCATTAAATTACTTTTGAAGTCAATGATAAATTCTATCATTAAACAATTCCCATTCTTTCTTCATTTATTCACCATTGACATTCAATGGAAATTATTATATGCCATTGATTACCAATAATGTATTAATGGCAAATGTTGCTAAGGGCGAAAGTCGGCGTCGTTGATGGGTCCTAATTGGTCCGAGTGGGGTTAGCTATTCAGTAATCAATTACTGAACAATGTAAACGATTGAAAATACTGAAATGGGTAATTTTTTTTGTTTTAAAAATTGCAATAATAAAAATTTTTTTTTTTATTTTAATCTAAAATTCGATGAATTAATATTTAATAAAAACTAAATTATTTGTTACTGTCAGTAATTATTACATTTTATCGATCGTTAATGATCGTAAAGTCATTAATCTTTTATCCACTATGTCGCTGCTATCGTAAAAATTCAGCGCACACATATTTTGAATCGATTATTTGACTGTTTGAGCGCTGTAATCAATTTTCACATTTGAGATAATGTTTGCGAGTGATATCTAATTAGAATGATAAGAAGGATATTCAATTGATTTCCTGACTGCAAGAGCGCTGCAACAGAAGTTAAGAATTTCAATAATAATTGTGTAGGCCATCTAATTAGATCACTAGAAAATATACTAATCAAAGAAAATTTCGCAATTAAAAACGTCCATGTTTCTCCGTCATAAACTTATTTCCTTTGTCATAAGTTGGAAGTACTTTGTTTTTTAAGTTGTAAAAATAAATTAAGCAATAGTTTTTATTAGTTTCGTGATTAATAAAATATATATCAGTGTAATAATTAATAATGGTGTGTTCTAATTGTGAAATGACCGTTTTAAGACACTTTTAATGTTCAATGACTTTAGACAAACAATACAATTTCTCATAAATCATAGTGTGATGAAGTCAAAGGTATTTTGTGGAAGTTGTGGTAAATTATGTGGATTAAACTCTACGACTATGTTTTGGCAGTGCCGTAGAAAGAAAAAAGTGACTGTAAATAAACGTGCGAAACTTGAATAATGTAATTTCAAGTTGTCAGTTTGTACTCATACTCGGTTCCATAATTCTTCGATGAGTTTTGAAAAAGTTTGTTCAATAATTACCCAATATTTATTCTTAAATCCATCCCACGCACAAATAAGTTTAAGATATCACCTAATACATAAAATGATTGGGCATCTTACATTAGGCTATATGTGAATAGTGGGTTTTTAAAAACTGTAGTGAGAAAATTGGTGGTCGGGGCAAAATTGTTGAAATTGATGAGGCTGAATTTGAACATAGGAAGTGAAATCGAAGTGGGCTTATTAGGAAAGATGGATTTTAGGAGGCATTAAGAGAGAGAAGGCCCCCGGGGTTGCATGGACGTTTCTGTCCTTAAGATATGTCGCGCAACAACGGGGACAGATTGAAGATTATTGTCCATAATCCGTCGTGCCCCACTTTCGTACTGCCCTATATGGTAGTCTGAATGTGGGCACGTCGAACACGCCGAGCGCGAGACGCGTTAGCGACCGCCGACCAAAGCGGATAAAGTTGGTACTACAGGAGGCCAAATTCCAACCCTGTGCCTGGGGCTGCAAAGTCAAAATATGACATGTAGGCCTAGGTACAACTGACCAATTGAGGTCGGACTCGTAGTGGTATGTTGTATGGCCTCGGACTCGTTACGTGTATCCCTGTGCCTGTTCTAGGTGCAGGTGTACGCGTCCCGGGAAATGCCATCGCAAAGAGAGTAGAGTTATCATTTCCCAGAGTTATGCCCAAAGGGGCGAGGTACTCAATTTTCGTCCTTCGGACGGGGGAAGCATGGCTATGGATTGGAGTAAAAAGTCATTGTTGGAAGTAATGAGAAGGAGAATTAAGTCAGGGACTACGATAATATCAGATTGCTGAAGGGCATATGATTGCTTGAATGATGAAGGTAATTGTCAATTTTCTGTTTTTAGTATTTTTTCTGGATTTTTTGAAACAAAAATTTATTGATACGATTGTACTTACTGTTTTGTACAATTTATTAAATTTTTTATAAATATTTTAGGGTTCAAACATTTAACATTGAACCACACTTATAATTTTGTTGACCCGGATAGTAGAGCTCATACTCAACACATTGAGAGAACCTGGAGAACAGCGCGAGCCAGTATTTTAAGATACGGCTGCAAGGAGGAGAATCTGTTAGGATATGTTGCAAAATTTATGTTTCAAGATTTTTTCGGGGATAATATATGTAATCGATTCATTTGGTCATACCAGTCATCAAACTAGCCATTCTACCAATCAATTCAACTCCTGAAGCCCAACAGCAGAATCAACCAGAAGACAATCATCAACCAGTTGCTGATGGCGGGCGGCATGTTGAGAATTGATCAATTCTCAGTTTGAATTTGCCAGCTGACAGGAACTTCGGCGGCCATCTTGGGACTGGGTCGATAACCAATCGACCAAATAATCAATATTTCTTAATCTAGTCACTCATTTGACTAATTTCCAGTGTCTCTTTTGACTAATGAAGTTCCTGTCACCATACTTTCTCTGTTCTCGTTCACTTGTACACGTCATACGAATTCTTTTCTAAAAAATCTTGAAGTTTTGAGTCATCAGTCAAATTGTGAATCATCAGAAATATTCAAGTTTCATTTTACGATAGAAATCAACTAACATTTCAAGACATTTCACAGTAAATTCACGAAAGTACAAGAAATTCATTTTGCATTCATTCCATTGATAGGCTAACGACACGTGCACAATCATATTCTTGCTTAACTTAAGAAGCGTACTGAGCTCGTGTGGGAGGTCAATAATACCGGACACACCGAGTTGAGCATTTTTTAGACATTCAATTAGAAATTCAGTAACCACAATTATAAATTGTTTAAAAAAAAATCCTACCACTAATGTAGCTACACATAGGTATAAAGATGAGTTTTTTTACACTGTTTGATTTCTTTGTTATTCTTCCGTCATTTATTAGAAAAATGAATGACTTTTAAAATTCATTTTGGTATCCCAAAATTGCAATTGCCTAGAGTAGCGGTAGATACTCGGCGCCACGTCACTTGCACATTCTGCCCCTTATTTAACTATCGCCCCTCGTCAGAGTAGTGCGCTCTCACAGCTCATATTTTCAGTGCTGAGTATTACGCTACTCTGTGCTAAAAAGTTTGCGCGTGACGTCACGGCGCAATGTTTAGTTGTAAATATCTCGATAACTATTCACTATTACCGAATAATTTTCAATTTATGATTAATAATGACTGTTAGCTTTCATTAAGATCCAAAATGAGATTCATTCATTGAGTATTAATCGAGATACAGATTAAGCTACGCCCCTACATGCCATCCAACGCGGACTCCTTTCTCGTGGCCACAATTTTTCTACGATATATATATATATGTTCTGTAAATATCATTCTCAGTTATAAATTGTTTCAAGTAAACATTAATTTACTTGCAATATCGTACAAGTTTTTCCTGTCTTTTGATGAATTTTATGCTGGAATATATATATTTATGTTAAATTCTATTTTTTTTACCAATTTGATATTTGATATCATGAAAAAACGCATTTCTGTATTGTTAACAATTCGAATTTTTAAATTCCTAAACATTATTTTTTACAATACAATTAATTATCTGGCATAACTGCATGCAAAATTGCTATAGTTTCTCTATTTTTTTTGGTGAATAACGTAAAATAATGTACTGAATTGATATTTTATTTAAATTATTTTTAAAATGATTTGTTTCAAAGATTTATTTCATTAGTACAAGCTTAAATCTTTTTTATTAAAATTGATATTAGTCTTGTATAATCATCTACAACATTAAATCAATATAATTTTTATTTTACATAATTAAATTATTTATTTATTATTACTAAATACACATTTGATACAAACTAAACCTTCAAATATGCGGTTTATTAATAATAACTAAATATTTATTTCGCCATTATCAAATATACCATTTGTTAACTATAAATAAATCTTATTTATTCTGAATAATCTCTTTTCTCCACTAAAAAAAAACTGAGTGATTGGTAGACATACCGAAGGATATGATATGAGATAACGGACAAGAAATACTAAAGAGTTTTTCTTTAATTTCTATTGACTTATTATTCTTCTATAAGTTGTTTACATTAACTATTTAGTAATTAAAAATAATATTATGATATATAATTTTACAATTCATAAATGTTATTATATACCGTTTTTTTTTTGTTTTTTAGATGAATATCAGTCATCGGTAAATGTTTTTAGTATGTGCTTGAACAATATGTTTAAAAATCTCATATTATATAAAAATCTATCGAAATTGTAATTACTTATATTTTATCGTTCAGTTGACGATACCTGTCATCATGAAAATGACAATTGTTGCAAGAAATCCAACAATGCTGAAACAGCGCGCTATAAGATCGCGCATTGATGCATTTTTAGTTTATTTATGAAACGGACTTGTGTAAATAAACTAATGAAATACTCTAGACCAGAATGAGATGTGCTTTTGGTTCGAATTAGATCTGATGCGGACTGAAAAAATCTATGTAGTCTAAAAAAAAAATTTTTTGGTGAACTGTAAAATTAATTATTTTTACTCAACAGGGCATACATATAATTGTATCTACAAATTCGGTATAAAATTTTGCTAATACTAATGTAGTAGGAAGGGTTATAAATTGCTCTCCGTTTTGAATACATCATATTCCACTCGATTAAATTATAATCAATCATCATTTCTTGAATTTTTTGTTAATTGTCAAAAAAAAAAGTTTTTTAATATAAGTGAAGCTTAGCTGATAGAAAACGCGTATTAATATTTGAGATTATATATTTTTATTTCGAGAATATATGAAACTTAAATAAAGAATGAATTATTTTTCATTCTAGCAACTTGTGATCAAGAATAAAATAATTTCTGACATAGTAATATTATTTTTTCAATGTTTTAGTAATTGAGCAGATACTTTCTGATTTAATTTTCTTTCAAAAAAAGACAATTCCACGATGATGACAAAATATTGATTATTATTTTTCAAATGCTTTGTCGATATTTTTATGGAAATTATGAATTTGTAATTATTTGCAATGTTCAATCGAAATAAAGCTTAGTCTTATTGGCACAATTTAGATTGCATAACATGTATGATTTTTATAGAAGATAAATAACACTTTTTATCGTATAGTTAAATCTACCCGGATTATTTCTTTTTTATTGTAAAAAATATAACATTAATAGAATATCGTATAAAATTGTGTAGGTAATTTTCAACATCAATTTCATTAAAAATAGATTTTTTTTTTCTGAAAATATCGGATTTTTTTTATCGATTGTCATGACATCCTTTGGATGATTTCTTATCGATCTCAACTTCTGCTTTATTAACAACAATGCAGCTATTAGAAATATAAATATTATTATACAAATAAAATGATGAACGGATGAAGATATCAAAAATGGTGAGTATAAAAGGAAGAATAAAACTGTAGTCAATCTAATAGTGAATAACATTCCGAACTCCGTTCAAAGTTGTAATCACAGCAGTTATCAATATGAAATTTTATTTAACTATCTTTGGAATAATTTTAGCTCTCGGCTTAATTTCAGGAACAGTAAGTTAGAAGCTGATTTTTACGTATCTAAGAAATGAATTTTACATTGAGTTTAATGTTGTTTAGACTTTTATTATCTGTTTTGTTTCTTTTTTCAATTCAAATTCATTGATGGATCGATTCTATTTGTTCAGTCTATTCAACGATTAATAATAAGGGAGGCTATTCCTGAAGTGAAACCGAATCCTTATGTTAAATCGATTAACGTAAAGATAAATGGAGAGTACAATGATACAGTGACAATTGAGATGCCCATTGATGAAGAGCTTCCGGATGATATTGTTGTAAGTCGAATTTTTCTTATTAAACATTCATCAGTCATCAAACAAAAACAATCTCAAATTCAAATTTACTCTAGTATTCATCATTCTATGTTAACTGCATACAAAATCCCCATTATTAAATTAATTTTATTATTAATTTGATATGTGTTTTTTTTTATTTCTTCACAGATGAATCTCAATGTCATATATAATGGTCAAGCAATTCCAGCGTTGAAAGGTGAATTATGTGATCTATTTGATGATAAAACATTTGCTCCAGACATGCTAGACACTGCAGTACCAAAAGATAAATTTCCAAGACAATGTCCAGTCCTTCCGGTAAGATAAAAAATGAATTAACTGCTATGGAAAGCCTTCAAAATATTTCATAATATTACTCTGTTTTTTGTAGAACAAAGATTATGCTTTTCTCAACTATACATTTCCACCAGAAAAATTAGGCCCCGGTATACCAGATGGAGAAATTTATACTGAAGTGTATTGTTCACGCAGTGGTGATGATTCTAATGCTTTCCTCATATTTCGTTCACATTTATCATTAGTTACTGTTACTCCAGATGCATCTTCGCTAATGGGTTAAAAAATTCCTTAAGTTAAAGAATAGATACAAAAAAGATCGCATATTAAAAATCTAATTTTCATGTTGCACTTTATATTTATTGACTCATAAATGTGATTCAATAACAATCTTCTACACTGTATTAAATTAATAAGGTTTTAATAAAGATTTATCTTGCATGCGGAAATTCATTAATTTTTTTTTGTAAAATAAAATTATTTAATCTACGGCAAATAAACGTCAGTTACATGGTAAATGTTGAAATACTGATTACAAATCGAGCATTTTCTACAAATGAAGGAGAATTCAAATCCAATTTATCTACAAACGCCTTTTCTTCGAATAGCTTTCGAGACACAGACTATCGTCTCTCATCAGGCTTTAAAACAATAATGGCGTTTATAGTATTGTACAATATGTATACATCGCCATTTAATGATTTACAGACATACGACAGTTTTGTAGAATGTTGACGTTTCTTAACGATTAGATTGATTATCGCAACGAGGGAAGAGTTTTTTTATCTTAAGAAAGTGGAATAATAATAATAATAATAATAATAATAATAATAATAATTAGGGTAACCCCAAGTTAGGGTAATTTTCTCCGGAAAATTACGCTCTCTGCAGAACACCTAGCTAGCGCTAACCAAGATCTCGACCACCGGGTACCAGATAGTGTAGATCTTTTTGCACTCAACAATGCAGTCTATGATGTGGCTCGAGGGTTTACTCAGGACAGACGAACACCTGTCAATCCTGAGTTAAGCCTGAAAAGACGCATCGAACAGATTGCAATTAAGATCAAGAAGGCTCGACAGGGTGCATCTCGTATTCAGAGTGTGATGGATCACTTAAATACTCACAGGCCTTATACGCCAAGAATTCGGCGTATCGTGGCGAGTATCAGACGTGAACATCACACTGTGAATACGGCCGTGTTACTGATCCTAAAGAAAAGGTACACAGGCAAAATAAGATCGCTAATGGCCGTTAAAAAGTCAGGAATGCTCTAAGGGGCACAAAAAACTGGGCTGCCCCTGGGCCAGATGCAATCCCCACCTTCTGGTGGAAGAAATTGACCTCATCCCACCAGCATCTGGCTCGTATCTTCTCAGAATATCTAGGAGGAGATACACCCATTCCTGGATGGCTCGTTGAAGGGCGTACTGTGCTGATCCCCAAAAGTGGTGATCTGACCAACCCCGGAAACTACAGGCCTATTGCATGTCTAAATACTCTCTACAAATTGTTTACAAAGATTTTGAACGAGAGGATTTTGACTGCAATAGAACCTGTATGGAGACAGATAAACGAACAACGTGGCAGCAAGCGTGGCTTGACAGGTTGCAAGGAGAACAGAAAGGCATTTGATACAACATCACACGAGCTTCTCCTCTACTTGCTCGAATGCCTTTCAGTACCCCCCCAAATAGTGAGATGCATCGAACATCTGATGCCGCTCTGGAGGACACGTTTCACCGTAACATCTGGTGAAACAAGAGTGTCTACCAGAGCAGTGCCATTTAGGAGAGGCGTATACCAGGGAGATACCCTGAGTCCTCTCCTATTTTGCATCTCACTGCTGCCATTATCTGTCACTCTACGCCGAACGCCTGGATATAAAGCCGGACGAGTCTCCAACCGCGTACACAAAGTCACACATCTATTTTATATGGATGACTTGAAAGTGTACGCGGCAAGTCCTGAGAGACTTCGAACAGCCCTAGAGGTTGTTTCCGAGTATACCAGTGCAATCGGCATGGAGTTTGGGTTGGACAAGTGCGCAGTTGCCCACTTAGTAAAAGGAAGATCGCCGAACTGGAGTGATAATGTCGAGCTTATAGACGGGAGCATCATAAAACATCTGGATGCTGGAGAGTCATACCGATATCTTGGACAGGCACAGTCTCCTTTGCAGGACGTGTCTGTCATCAAAGATACTCTCCGCAGTGAGTATCCGCACAAAACAGGCATCTAGGAATGCCTGTAAAAACTGGCGCCAATTTTGTCTTTAAAGTCTGCCCAATTCAGTTTCAAATGTTCTTATGTACGAACTATAATATATGGAACTGTTGAAAGAATTTAAAAAATTGGGCCAAGTTTCATAGTTTTTTGGTTTTAAAGATTTTTTTTTTGGTACTTCAAAATTAACTGAAATTTTATAAGTCAATAGTACATTGCTAGTTCGAAAAAATTATGAAAAAAGACGCAGCTAACTTGGCGTTTTACTTGATTTCACATGTTTTTTTGATCTTACCTTTTTTCCATTTATACTAATTTTACTTGAATGTGGACTTGGCGCCAGTTTTTACAGGCATTCCTAGATGCCTGTTTTGTGCGGATTTCACTTCTTTTTGAAGTGAAAACTTCTTCAGGCGCGTTGGAGCAATTTTTAGTAGGGGACAAACTTGTAAGTTCACATCACCAAATCATCCGTGTTACTGACATAGTAACGTTGATATAATATCTATAGCTATGAAGTTGAAGCGTTCCTCTTGAATAACAGTAAAGTATATATACATATATATATATATATATACATGCAAGCGGACGTTTGGTAACATTTTGTGCGACCAAAGTGGAAGTTTGGTGACGAATTGAAATTTTGGTGACTGTCACCAAACTTCCCTACAACGATTATGGAAGTTTGATGACAGTCATCAAACTTCCAAAATAATTTTGAAATCTATAAAAAAAAGAAAAGTAACAGAAAAATACGATAAATGTCGGATATACGGTTAAAACCATATAATATAATAAGTTCTGTTCTTCAAGAATCTAGGGGAAGCAGAATAACTAAGGAAAAATCAAAATTTGTTGCAGAAAATAGATCTTTTAAAAAACCTCGGTGACTGTCACCGAACTTCCAAAATAATTTTGAAATCTATAAAAAAAAGAAAAGTAACAGAAAAATACGATAAATGTCGGATATACGGTTAAAACCATATAATATAATAAGTTCTGTTCTTCAAGAATCTAGGGGAAGCAGAATAACTAAGGAAAAATCAAAATTTGTTGCAGAAAATAGATCTTTTAAAAAACCTCGGTGACTGTCACCGAACTTCCAAAATAATTCTGAAATCTATAAAAAAAAGAAAAGTAACAGAAAAATACGATAAATGTCGGATATACGGTTAAGAACCATATAATATAATGAGTTCTGTTCTTCAAGAATCTAAAAGGAGCAGAATAACTGAGGAAATATCAAAATTTGTTACAAAAAATAGATTTATCACAATTAGTTTTTTAATTTTTTACCTAATAACGGATATTGAAGATTAAAACGTGAACGTTATATATAATAACATCCATGTATACATTTACCATAGTACACTCTTGTAACAAAGTATCGTACCATTAATGTTCCATTTATGTAGCATAAGTTATGTATTACAAATAAGCATATACATAAACATATGAGCAACATCACTAAGTTATGTAACAAAATATTATATCCAATGCAAAATAATTCATGTATCGCAGTGTCTATATAACATATGTAACGTAAGTTACATTATACTGATGTTATTTCATTTTATTGATGCTATGTTACACTAAGGAAACGGCTGCGACATAACATAAACATAACATAAGAGTCACTGTTGTGACGTTTTTTTCAAAGTAACATTGTTTGGTCACGAGGACATAATATAGCCGTCACAATTGTGACGTTATACTACAATCACAATGCTATGTAACTGATACGTAAGATAGAAGTAACAATTAGGTACATATCATAAAACTCAAATTTGATATAATTGTTATGTCACCTATAAGTCAAAAAAGTTACGTAACTTGTTACTTCCTTGTTATATCACATTTACATTCTGTGTTCACTGGGTAACTCCTCCAGTTACAGGAGCACTCTTACTGATAATGAAAGGAAATGATCGTAAAACTCACTTTCTGTTCTTTTACAACAAATGATATGTTACGAACAAAAGAAATATGTTTATATCCATTATACACTGTGGATAACATTGTTTCAGTAAAAGAAAAAATTTCCCATTGGAAGATCTTAAATATATTGGATAAATCCTGTTTTCAATTGTTTATAACAAATTGAATTGTTATAAACAATTCACATTAACAAAAAGTAGCATAAAACTTTCCGAACAACCCCCTCTACATATCTGTTAAATTTGGTCGCAATCGAATTAACCGTTTTGGAGATTACCCTGAACAGACAGATAGACACCAGAAATTCATATAGTAGTATATATACGTGCAAGTGGAAGTTTAGTAACATTTCGTGCGATCAAAGTGGAATTTTGGAGACAGTCACCAAACTTCCAAAAAAATTTTCTTCCTCCAAATAAATTTTTTTTTTCAATAAGGTTACTAGAAACAACGCGCGCTCTCCGAGCGCGCTGTCTCAAGACAACAACGTTAAAAATTATTTAATTTTTATTTTTATTTATTTCAAAAATTTAAAAATTTATAACAATTTTAGGTAGTTCCTATGCTACATAGGTGTATTTTCTGCTCTTTTATGACTTTGCCAAGCCAGTTTTTTATTTTTCTGAAATAGAAAAAAGTTCAACAAAATAATGTCTTATGAAAATAGTGAAAAATATGATATTTCAATAAGACATTATTTAAAGCCAACCACAAAATTTATAACAATTTTAGGTAGTTCCTATGCTACATAGGTGTATTTTCTGCTCTTTTATGACTTTGCCAAGCCAGTTTTTTATTTTTCTGAAATAGAAAAAAGTTCAACAAAATAATGTCTTATGAAATAGTGAAAAATATGATATTTCAATAAGACATTATTTAAAGCTAATCACAAAATTTATAACAATTTTGGATATTTATTATAATTGTTTTTTCTTTCAATCATCTAGAACATCATTTTATCCATGATTCCAAATGAAATCTATTAAAATCGATATGCAACACGCGGGAAACACTTTTTACTTTTTTTTTATCATATTCTTTTGTTGTTATTATTCGACAAACACTTATTTCTCATTGATCATTTAAAACTTTTCTTTACCAATAATTCCTAAAAAAGTTTATTTAAATCGATATACAACACGCGGGAAACTTTTTTCATTATTCAGAACATAGATGTCTCTTGGTTAGGCAAGAGAGAAGGAAATATTATGAGTTCAACGTGAAAGAGAGTGATAACAATACGTAACGCAAGAAAGAGGGCACTGTAGGGAGCCCAATGTGAAAG